AATTCATATAAAAAATACAGAATATATGAAATGAAATATGTGGATTAGGCTACTTCTTGACATAAGAACCATTCAAGTTCAAGTACTTGTCACAGCAGTGTACAAGCTTGAAGATGCCTGTGCTGTAGAATGCCGATTCCTGACCAAACAACCATCCATGTACAACCGATTTAACTGCCTCATCAGAATAGAACCTCTCTCCAGCCAGGAATTTCTTCAAAGGACCAAACAGGTGGAAACTGCTTGGTCTCAAATCGGGACTGTAAGGGATGCAGAATTTCCCATCCAAAGGATGTAACGAGGTCATGGACTTTTGTCGAAGCATGTGGACAGGCATTATCATGAAGAAGTCAAATATCATGTGCTTTTCCAATCAAAATGTCTTCAAGCAAATGCAGCAGTTGATTTGAATCAACAGCAGCAACTGTTTGAGGCAAAGCTGCACTTACCGGATAACATGACCTGTGCTCGTCATCAATCACACACTGACGACCATTTTTAAACATTTTGCACCATTGACAGACGGTTGAATAGTCCACGCAATTGTCACTGTACACCTTCTGCATTTCCACATAATAAATTTTTGAATTTAAGAAATACTCAGATAACAACGTAATTTTGAAAAATAACAAAAAAGAAGAATTTATCTTATGGTAGTGAATTTGATGGTAGTGAATGAAAGTCACAAGAATTACAATTATAAATGAGAAATATATATCTATATGATTAACTCTATTGATAATAAAATATAAATTTATGAAGGAAAACACTTTGCAAAATTTTAGAGAATCTTTATCACAAATATGCATTTTCAGAATTCTACAATTTCTATGAATATAAAAAGTAACAATGATGCAAAGTTTTTTTCTATAAATAAATACATCAGTCATAATTGAACAAATAAAAACTACATAATTTTAAACAATTCATCATTTTAAATACTACTTGCAAAATGAGAATGTCAGGACGATAATCAAAATACAAAATAAAGCAAATGCATAAAAAATTAATAACAAGAATGAAATATATTGATGATGGTTAAAAATCAAATAAATAATTCTACATTATGGGGTTTCCATAAGTAACATCCTTATTTTTTTAAGCAAAAGTTTTAATTCATATAAAAAATACAGAATATATGAAATGAAATATGTGGATTAGGCTACTTCTTGACATAAGAACCATTCAAGTTCAAGTACTTGTCACAGCAGTGTACAAGCTTGAAGATGCCTGTGCTGTAGAATGCCGATTCCTGACCAAACAACCATCCATGTACAACCGATTTAACTGCCTCATCAGAATAGAACCTCTCTCCAGCCAGGAATTTCTTCAAAGGACCAAACAGGTGGAAACTGCTTGGTCTCAAATCGGGACTGTAAGGGATGCAGAATTTCCCATCCAAAGGATGTAACGAGGTCATGGACTTTTGTCGAAGCATGTGGACAGGCATTATCATGAAGAAGTCAAATATCATGTGCTTTTCCAATCAAAATGTCTTCAAGCAAATGCAGCAGTTGATTTGAATCAACAGCAGCAACTGTTTGAGGCAAAGCTGCACTTACCGGATAACATGACCTGTGCTCGTCATCAATCACACACTGACGACCATTTTTAAACATTTTGCACCATTGACAGACGGTTGAATAGTCCACGCAATTGTCACTGTACACCTTCTGCATTTCCACATAATAAATTTTTGAATTTAAGAAATACTCAGATAACAACGTAATTTTGAAAAATAACAAAAAAGAAGAATTTATCTTATGGTAGTGAATTTGATGGTAGTGAATGAAAGTCACAAGAATTACAATTATAAATGAGAAATATATATCTATATGATTAACTCTATTGATAATAAAATATAAATTTATGAAGGAAAACACTTTGCAAAATTTTAGAGAATCTTTATCACAAATATGCATTTTCAGAATTCTACAATTTCTATGAATATAAAAAGTAACAATGATGCAAAGTTTTTTTCTATAAATAAATACATCAGTCATAATTGAACAAATAAAAACTACATAATTTTAAACAATTCATCATTTTAAATACTACTTGCAAAATGAGAATGTCAGGACGATAATCAAAATACAAAATAAAGCAAATGCATAAAAAATTAATAACAAGAATGAAATATATTGATGATGGTTAAANATTACTATACAGTTTTTTAAGTCCTTAAAGTGACTTTAAAAACATATATACAAAGATATCTGACAATAAAAATTGAGAAATTAAATTAAAAGAGCTAGAAACAAAGTTTATTCTAAATGACTATCCTAAAATGAAACTAAATACATGACATAAACAATATTACATAAATACATATAACATGAAATATAAACAGGACAAAAAATATAAAACCTTTCTGTATATTAAAAACATTTTTGTCAATTTCAATAATATCCTTTAAAAACATAATATTAGTTTGGCCCCATCTTTGACCAATAAAATAGCACATAACATTTATAAAAACATTATCTATTTTATTGTTATGTTGTTTATTAATCTTAAAAAGGCAGTAGTAGTTTATGAAATAGAATGTAACTGTCAAAATCCAAAAATTTATATAGGTGAAACTAGTCGTTTATTGGATGTACGAATAAAAGAGCATGAAGCAGTTATTCGACTTGGATATAATAACTCCCCGTGGTACACTCAAACAAAAAATAAAAAATGTCAAATTAATAGAAGTAACATAAAAATTTTACAATTAGAAAAAGATGCTTATAAAAGAAAATTCAAGGAACAGGTAGAAATAAGAAAACATCCCAAAGAAAATTTAGTTAAGATTTCAGATGGTATGTTAACTGACCATCAATGGTACAGAGTAATAGAGGGTACTTCAACATGTTAAGCACAGTAATAAAAGCACAGTCCATAATCCGTTGTACGGTTTGTTTGGATAAATTAGAATTACTGGATGTCGTTATGTCTTTATATGTCATTGTTGTTCAAGAATTTAACTGTATAGTAATTAATTTTTAATAATTTTAAATAACAATATTTTATATTATATTATATTAACACTTATACAGTCTTCAATTGGAAGAACTGATATGCACCCACTTTAAGTGTATTGAATAATGGAAATATAATATGTATATTTTTAAAGAAGTTTTTAGATAGAATTATATATTTTTATGTAATTAAGTGTATTAAGCCATTGTAATTTATTTTATAAACATTTTTTTATAAAATAGTAGACCGTTGTGTATATTTATAGAAGATACAATTGTAGAAAAAAGAAAATTTAATTTATGCCTTTATATGATATGCAAGTGATTTGTTGTGTAAAAAATCTTTTTTCGCAATATCTGAGTAATGTTGTGCCCCTAATTATATTATTGTTTTTTCATACAGCATTGAAGGGGGGTTGGGAACTTAAATCAACACGAAATGCATTTGTAATCCAATTTACAAAATAAAGCTGTTTCTAACCAGAAAGCTGTGAGATTGTCTATCAAACTTGCTTTTTGGATTAAAGAGACATTATATACAGGAATTGAAGAAACAGCAACCATATTACAGTGAGGAGTTATTCTATTTAAATAAACATAATCATATATAAATGTAATAAATATCATAATATACAGGGGTTGAAAATAAATAAGAAGCACGTATTTATAAGGCAAAAGTGAAAGTTGTGACAATTATGAATATTATGCTGTTTTTAAGGTTGATTCCCTAGATATCCACTGGCAAAAAGGTTTCTGTCACCTTTAGACTAGCACAGTAGCAACAGAAAGAGACTTGTGAAAGGCAGATCATTCTAAAAGTATTTTCTAATTTTGAGCAGTAATGTTGACTGAAAATCAAGATTGCAAGGAAATTCACAGCAAAACAGTTATCAATGACTTGTATAGTATAGGCTTGTGTATCATCTGCTTTACTGTACAGTACCATCAGAAAGTGAATGAATACACTGAGAGGTCATCAGAAAATAGATAATGAGCATTGACCTGAGTGTCCCCCACAGTTTTATGGAAAAAAGTACAAGCTGTGGCTGCATTGTTGGAGAATGATTGGACGTGGGCAGTTTGTGACCTAGGTTGAGAACAATCCACCCACAAGATCATCCTACACATTCTGCAAGAACTGCATACATGAAAAATTGCATACTAATGGATTCCACTTGCTTTGGATGATGTCCAGAAACAGCAGTGTGTTTCGATTTGGAGTGCTATCAGCATGAAGAGTCAGTGTTCTTACATCATATCATTACATTAGATGAAACAGAGGCTCAGTCCTATAAACCACAACTAAAATGTCACTTCACTGAGTGGTGACATTATTGTTCTCCATGATGAAAAAAATTCCAGCAGAACCCCATTAACATCAATGCTATGACTGTAAAGGTATTACTTTAAACACACAATGCTACCAGGGTAAACTGTAAATGCACATTTCTACACCCACTTCTTGGAACATAATATGTGACCAATGCTGCATAAGAAACAATGCCACTTCCTGAAGAATCCTACATCATGTTGCATGGCAATGGGCATTGTCATGCAACATTGTGTTGGTCTTAGTGAAGAGCCAGCTTGATATGTGGGGGTCAGGAAGTGTTGTACTACCCTCCCCATACTCTCTGGACAATAGTCTATGCAATTTTAATTTATTCTCTAAGATGAAGGGATCTCTCCATAGGAATTCCTTTCAAGACCATCCAGGACATTATATGGAAAGTACACCACTCCATAGCAACTAGCAACAGAAATTTGGCTGCTAAGCATCAACCAACTTCCACATCAATGGGAATGAGTGATTAACAATGTAGGTGACTATATCAAAAAACTATAAATTGTGCACAGCTGTACTACTGTTCTATATAATGATCAGTGATTTATTATATGGAACACATGTAATAAATCACTGATCATTATATAGAGGGACAATATGTTTGACAGAAGAATCAAGAAATTTTGTCTAATAGCAAAAAGTCACATATTTGAATAGATTCAAAAATGAAAATTTTACATAAACTAATATAAAAAGTATAAAAATATATTAATAAATAAATAATTTCATTACTTAATTTTACCCACCGAATTGTTTGGAGACAAACCCATTTTTCACAACTCCACAACTTAATCTCTTGATTGTTATCTGCTCCAGTTAAGGCAAATCTCCAAAATTAAACACTGTAAAAAAGATAAATAAATAAAAATACAAGATATTATTTAAAAGACTTTCAAAAAGTTGTTTGAATATATGAAAGCTTACGTTGGTTTGGGATTTTTGTGATCATCTAAAAAAAATAATGAAGAGAGAGGTTTGCCATCATGAGGTTTCCATTGATGAAGGCATCTAAAAAAATAAAATAAATAAATAAAACAAACAGTTTTTCATGAAATAACATATGTATAAGTTATCATTCAAAGAACTATTATTTCTTTAAATGCAAATCTCAAATGCAAATTTTAAAAATTTTTAGTTTAACTAAAAATTTACTATATAACTAAATATTGAATCCTAACATTAATCCTAAGTTAAAAATAGCATAAAAAGTTACTTTACATAAAAAATAAAATTTTTTAATTTATGTGAGATCCGAATAGGCCCCGGGTCTAAAATAGTAATTTTATTAATAATGTTAAATATTGTCATAAAATATTATTTCATCTTGGTGAGAAATTAACATTTTCCAACGTGGGAAAGATAGATAACAGATGCTACTTCCTTCTAGGGAAGTTATTACATCCTCTGTTTTTCCCTTATCCGCTAAAAATCTCGCTCAGATGGGAACTGTCTACTCCTCTTTGATTCCCCTTTCATCCATTCACATGAAAGAGTTTCTGGCAGATGATTGGTCGTAAATCATGAGATATAGGGGAAATTTATCAGAATTTGGGGAGTTCATCGACAGACCTGGAAGAGTCAGGACTCCACACATATATTTCTCCTGATGGCCAACGCCCTTAGACGAGTCACATAGAATAATTCCAGAGTTAGCGCTGAGAAGATATACTTTGATTTTGTGCACCTATCGATCTCCCATGGAATGAAGTAAATGAACTTTATCTCTAGAGTATCCCTTGCCTTCAAGAAGAAGACGAACGACAACTAAAACAGGTTGTATGTTTACTAACGATTTTGTGAGCTCTCTCTTTCGATCGTGTAACAATTTAATATAAGTCCATATATCTCTCGACTTATAGGTTGAATTTTGTAGTCATTGTCTCTTACTACCATATATTTGTATTATTTTATTGGTTTACGTTTAATTAAATTCAATCTTGTTTATTTGTTAAAAGAATGTCTCTGAATCAAATCTATAAAATAATCACCTGCGTGTTAGTCCGCGGATCGATTAATTGACAAACTGGTGTCGGGAACCTGACGTAAGGAAGGTGATTTCGCCATCACCAACCTCCACCTTAAAATTCGGCTTAACTAAAGACCCTCCGCCACTCGATTTCCCTAAGATTGGAAAAGGCTGTTCTTGTAGATGACAGAGAACTAGTCCTACCGACTAGCTGCCTAGTAAGTGATACAGGTGTAACAACCTACCCTGTATCCCAGGCTGGATCTCACATTTACGTAATAAAAGATTAATATTAAAAAAAACAGCAAAATACTAGTTTCTAGTATTTTGCTGTTTTCTAGTTCAACAATATATACTAGATTATTAAAACATATTTTTTTTTTTAAATTATAAGTTACAATTCTTTTACGAATTAATAAACTTCAAATCAACATAAACATTGGGCTAAAATTTTCTTTTCCATAAAAAGTTTTTGTTTCCTACTAGAGAACTAGACTAGACTATCAGTGCACAAATCAGTTATTTGTTCATACTAAATATAATATCAGTATTTTGTATTTATTAATTTATGTTTTAAAATTAATTAATTAAATTAAGTCATAAAATGGTATTCTTTAGTTAAAGGACAAAAAGAGTCAAAAATGAAAAATAAGAAACAGAAAAGTTTATAAGACTGTGTAGTATTGATTTTCTTTTTTTGATCCATTCAGTTAAAAATTTCTAGGAAGAGAGGCTTAATAAAGGTGTCCATTACAAACAATGATAATTAGGAAAAACACAAAATAATTAAAATTAAGCATATAAGAAATTTTTGGTTATATAGTAAGACAATTTCTTAATGAAGAGTCTACTTTTATTAATGTTGGTCATTTTATCAATCAAGAAAATAAAACATAGTAAATTATAAATATTAAAATTATTCAAATTTAATTTAATTATAATAAATATCATTGCATATGTATGTATGACAAGAAACAGAGATAAGCAGACCACCTGTTTTGCCCTAGGTCAAATGTGTTAGAAACAAAAGGGTTGTCCTCATTGAGAAATGATCTATGAACAATGAGAGCTATCACCCCTGCACAAAAGGTAAGTACAGTAGAGCATCATTTATCCGAATCAATTGGGAACTGGGGTTGTTCGGATAACTTATTTTTCGGATAACCGATTATGTATGAAAAAATATATTAATTTATCCCGTGTTGAAATTTTTCTCCGTTGCGTGTCGCTTCGCGTTGAATTTTCGTCGATGTTAAGCCTAACATAAACTTTTTAAAATAATAATTGAGGCTATTGTATCATTAAAAATTATTCCTTTATTTTTTACAAACAAAATAAAAATATAAAAACAAAAAAAATTATACTTTAGAAGTTAATCTAGTATCAAAAACGTTTGATTTAGCACCACACAGTCCTCAGAAAAACACTACACAAAAGTGCCGGTGCTGCCAGCTAAAACACACACACCAACAAAAAAAATATTGGAGTAGCCCAAGATATAGCCAAAGATTGCAGCGCTACAGCACTAGCGAAAATTTAAATTTGCCGACTGAAATGCTTTCAGTTAACCAATGTTTTGGATAACTGGCTTTCGGATAAACAACGCTCTACTGTAGATCATTCTTGGTCTGGGGACTAAAGGAGATTAATGGACAGCTCCAGGCTTGAAATCAAAAGTAATAGAAAAATTTATGTATATTTAATAATATAAAAGCTGTCATCTGTGTGTTTGTGTGTGAATGCCTTATAACTCCTGCAATTTTTGTCCAATCCAGATGAAATTTTGGTTATATTTATTTTATGTTTTGACAAAGTATAGGCTACTTCTTTTGCAGAAATATTAGCTATAAAATAAATAGATGTTTTTATCGATTTTGGATCAGTGATTGCATTTATGTTTCAGTGATGTCAGTGACTTCATTAAGTTCATGCTTGACAACAGAATTTCTTATAATTTGCATTTTTAAATATTTTGGAAAATGATGTGTTTTAAACTTCATTAAATTTAAAATTTAAACAGTAAAAATAGGTAGACATGTTGTGCCACTTCTATAACAAATTTTTTTTTAAATCTTTCTGTAGTGACCATGTGACATTCTATTATCCAATTGGAAGTAATGATCTAACAAGTCTGTTATTTAAAATGTATTACTGTGATTCAATTATGTTTTGACAAAACAGTATAAGCTATTGTAGAAATATTAGTTACTTTTGACTTTCTTGAAATCTGTACTCTTCTCAATTCTTCAATCACTACTTTCTCATAGAAAGTAGTCCGTCATAGTTGACAGGAGAATTTCTAACATATATACGAAGAAATAACTTTCTAATTTCTAACATATATCTGTTCAAAAAAGGTCTCAAACTTTATTTATTACAAAAAAATACTTCACTTACAATTTATTGGTCGGGGGTCCCTTCAAAGTAGTCTCCTCCCCAATGTATACACTTATCCTAACAGTGTTTCCACTTTTTGAAAAAGTCTTGGAATGCTTCTTCTGGAATACTAACAGCTCCTCCACCAAATTTTTCTCTATCTCTGGAATGGTGGCAAATCTTTTTCCTTTGTGCAGGTTTTTTAGTTTGGAGAACAAGAAAAAGTTGCATGGGGCCAGGTCAGGTGAGTAGGGTGAGTGGAGAAGCACAGGGTCTTGTTTTTTGGCCAAAAACTCACGAGTTCTGAGCTGAGGGACAACTAAGCCAGCGCAATGTTGTGATAAAAAAAGTACTACTTGCCACTCCTTCAAAGTTTGGGCCTTTTTCATCTGATTCTGTTTCTAGGTGTTTCATAACCCCCAGGTAATACTCTGTGTTGACTGTTTGGCTTGTAGGTAGGTATTCGTGATGCACAACCCCCTTTGCATTGAAAAAAACAGTTAACATCACCTTAACATTTGAGCAAACTTGTCAAGCTTTTTTGAGCAGGGGGATGTTTCACCCACCCATTGTGAAGATTGCACTTTTGTTTCAATGTCATATCCATAAACCCATGACTCATCACCTGTTATGATCCTGAATATCCTGAATATAAGAAGGTTTCATCCTCTTCAGCTCGATCAAACAGTTCCTGACAGACTTGAACATGTTGTTGTTTCTGGTCTGCTGTCATTGGGTAAGGCATGAATTTGGCGGCAACTTGATGCATCCTCAATTTTTCAGTCAGGATTTCATAGCATGAACCAATTGAGATGCCACACACTATTGCAATTCCCTGACAGTCAAATGTCAATTTTCATGAATGAGATCATTCACTTTCTCAATGTGTGGGTCGCTAGTTGATGTTGATGGTCATCCAGAATGCTTGTCATCTTTCACTGATTGCCATCCCTTTTTGGACTGGGAAAACCATTCATAACACATGATATGTTTCACAGCATCCTCACCGTAAGCCTTGGTAATCAACTCAAAACTTTCCATAAAGGATTTCCTGAGTTTCACAAAGAATTTCACAAAACAACGCTGCTCCTTCAGAGCTCATTTCTGCGGATTCAATTTTTTGCTAAACCCCATAACCCCTTCACATAAATGACCATAACTAATCACTAAAACAAGATATCAACAAATGAGTTGAAGGAGGTTATTCGGGAGGTTTCCACAGACACAACGCTTCCAAGCAGATTAAAAAATAACCAACTGGAGGTGTGCTATTCAAAAAGTTCTTAAACTTTTTGAACAGACCTCGTATAGATATGTATGTATGTATGTATGTATGTATGTATGTAAAGAATAAATATTATCATTGACATATCAATAATTAATAAATCATAAATATCAAGAATTTAATTTTATATAATATATATATATATAATTTTACTCAAATATTTTTTAATAATATAAAAATTTTTTTATTTTAAATTCTCATTTTTAAACTATTGAAATCAGTGGTACCAGTTCCATATACCCTACAGTAAATATTTCATATTAAACTGAAGTTTTTAAAAGAGATTTTGATCAAATACACTTAAAAATGTATTTAACATAAAAACAATTTTATATTAATGCACTTACAACCACAAATAGAAATAATTTATCAAATTTTGGTTTCTGTTTGTAGAATATCTAAATTTACCTTGGAGAAACAGTATCCTCTTCTGAAAAAACTTCAAAAAATTGAACTTCTCCATTGGTACTCGCTATAGCCAAAGCATATCCGTCAGGAGAAAAGGCAGCATCTCTAATAGGCTAAAAATGATATACATATAAAATGTATCTAAATTAATTTTAATTTTACAAACTGCAAAAAAATAAAAACTTAACTCAAGCTTTTATATTAAAAAATTTAGGAACAATAATTCAGAAAGTATTGTATATTAAAATGCAGTACTTTCTGAATTACATGAAGAAATTAAACATGAATAATTTTGTCTATTGTCATTAGAAGACAATAGACAAAATTATTCATTTAATTCCTTCACAGTAAACAATATTAAATATGCATTTATAAACTACTAAACAAAAATTATCCATTTAATTATTAACAATTATTTCAAAATTTATATCTGATATTGTAAAGACAATTAAATAATCATATTTAAATTCCAGCCTTTTAAATATAAGATACCAGCAAAATTTAATATTACATTAATTAAAATATAATTACAGCTATAAATATGAATGAAAATTAAAGCCATGAAGTAATAAAAATATTAAGTGAAAATTATATTGAGCAATCTCATCTCTCAGTGAAAGTATATATTGTAATTATTAAAAATTTTAACAGACAAATAACCTTCATATATGAATCAATGTATTTTTAAACTGATGAAATTTTTTTGTAAAATTAGCTATAAAGCTTCTTAATTAAATTAAAGTATTTAATATGAAAGTTCATTAAATATTTAATTAGAAATAATTTTTCATAAATAAAAATGTTAAGTTTTTTAGAATATAAAAACTATTTTGTTACATTTTTTATAACATGTTTGTTATCTAATATATATGTTACTGTGAATGACCGATATCTGGCGAATGTCAGCATTCTCCAGTGAATGTCAGCATTCACGCAGTCGTTTCGTGTATGTACAAAATATTTGCTAAATATCATTATTTCTCACTTACATTGACAAATGTCGACATTCAGCATGCACTAATGGTGAATGTTGAATAAAAATATTTTTATTACATTAAGACAAAAATGCAACTTTTTAATGTCAGAATAGGAGAAAGCTTAAGTAACAGTGCATGTAAATAAACCGTTGAACACTAAAACGAACAGTACATTCCAAATCATTAAAGCAAATAATACAATAATAAACTTACACACAAATTATTTGATTAACATTATACAATCTTATTTATTGCAACAACTTAAACTGTTATGGCCCTTTGAATTGCACAAGAGTCCCTTGTTTTACAACTGCATTTTTTCGTGGAACACATCCTTTTGCAATGACAACTTGTATAGCCTTGCCCTCCACTTTTCGAATTAGCTGCAGCTGTTTCTCTCAGAGATATTTCTTGAGAAAAAAAATCTCATCTATGGAAAGTAACTTTTCTTTACAAATTACGAACTGATTATGGGTATAAAGCTGCTTGAGGGTATCATTTTTGTTTGCTAATTTATAAAAGTCGGAGTCATCTATTCCAACAACAACCGCCAACACATTTCGGGAATGTGTACGACCACAGTCGACATCAGGGACTTGTATTCGTACGGTATCATCAATTTGAGTGAAAGGAAACGGCAAAGAATTTAGTGACAGACTGTCGCCTTTCTGTCGACATTGGCTTCTCGGGTGTCGTTTCGACCTCCACCAAGACTTATCTGTGCTTGTCGACATACACCGGTGATTGTTTGAATATGTAATAATATAACCAAATATTCGGTCTTTCACCGACATATTTTGTATGTGTCGACATTCACTGGAAAACATTGACATTCTCTAATTTCGGTCTTTCACAGAAACATATACACTAAAATCTGTAAAAATACTTCAAGTAAAAAAAATTGTTTAAAGTGAAATAGTCAATGGAAGTAAAATAATTTATGCTTAAATATATTAGTAAATGGAATGAGGAAAATCAATACATACAAAAATATTCTATTTATGCAAATTAAAAAATAGAGCATCGATTATCAGAAACAATTCAGGACTGGAGTTGTTTGGATAACTGATCATGTACGAAAAAATATATTAACCTATCCCGTGTTGAAATTTTTCTCCATTGCATGTCACTTCACATTGAATTTTTGTCAATGTTAATGAAAATTAATGAAAATTTTTAAAAATTAATGAAAATTTACCTAATGAAAATTTTTAAAAATTAATGAAAATTTTTAAAAATTAATGAAAATTAATAAAAATTATTAATCAGAATATCTTTAGCAAGAATAAGCAATGCAATCCAAAAATTAATTCTTTTAAAATTTGGATTATTTTTAAATGTTCATTAGAAAAATTACATAGCATTTGTTTGTTGAATGTATAAACTGTTCGGTTTTTATTTATAAAAATTCTACAGAATTATTAAAAATAATTTAAACCTTGCTAAATATGTAAAATTAATGAATAGTTATATGAGTTGGGAAACTATCCGATTTGTGAATAAGAGAATAAACTGATTATTTTTAATTTTCTAGAAGGAACATTTGCATGTGTGGTACGGTTGATCCATCATTGGATACATATCACGTAATCACAGTTTATGCCTCTTTGTCAAAATTATGTGAGGAGATTTTTGGTGNATAAAATAAAATATTCAATAATGACGAGTGCTTGCCTCTAGAATAAACAATATGAATGTGAGACAAGCAGAGGGCCAGGGGTTAATCCCTCCTGACCACTTACACTGACAGGCTGGTAAAACCCGATCTAGGAGAGCAAAGAGTGAGTGGAGAGTGCGTCAGTAAGCCAGCAGGCATCCTTTCAATGACAGGAGAGGGTTTAACAAATAAACAAAGCATTTATTGAATAACTAAATTTAAGTTACAGGAGGCAAAAATAAGACTAAGGTTAAATGCGGTTATACTAGACTATTTACATATAATAGGCGACTATTCTTGTCTATGTCGCTTGCCTAACTTTAGGGAGAGAGAGAGAGCGATTTTACAAGTTCTATATCTCAGAGTAATGGAGAGTTGATATGGCGATGATCCTCTGTGTCTTCTCCAATGGGATCCAATTCCTTTGCATGGAGGTCGACTGACACAAGTACAGAAATAACTTCTGTGTGCGGACGCGCCGAGCTTCTGGGGGCTCAAGCTTTTATTCAGTTGTCATGGGAAAGGAGTCACATGATCATCACATGTTGACAATAATGGTGCATTCTTGACACCTATGTGTCAACTTTCCCATCTAATTGTATAACAAATGGTGACCTCCGATCTAATTCTCACCAGGAGCATTTTTTCTATTGGAGTTGTTTATGTTTCTTTTTTTCTGACAACTGCATTAATTCACAGATTTCACATGAAAAATAAAAATTATTAATCAGAATATCTTTAGCAAGAATAAGCAATGCAATCCAAAAATTAATTCTTTTAAAATTTGGATTATTTTTAAATGTTCATTAGAAAAATTACATAGCATTTGTTTGTTGAATGTATAAACTGTTCGGTTTTTATTTATAAAAATTCTACAGAATTATTAAAAATAATTTAAACCTTGCTAAATATGTAAAATTAATGAATAGTTATATGAGTTGGGAAACTATCCGATTTGTGAATAAGAGAATAAACTGATTATTTTTAATTTTCTAGAAGGAACATTTGCATGTGTGGTACGGTTGATCCATCATTGGATACATATCACGTAATCACAGTTTATGCCTCTTTGTCAAAATTATGTGAGGAGATTTTTGGTGTTACCTGTTTTGCATTTAATAAATTTAAGAAAGTAATTTCTGGTACTGATTCATTTTTCAAGGTTCATAGTGAAAGCTGTTAGTAATTTTATGTTAACTGTGTCCTGGGGCTTGGTTTCCTTGTTATTTAACCAGTGGCTAGCTTTGGTTATTTGAGAGATTATCTGATTTGTGAATAAGAGACTAAACTGATTATTTTTCATTTTCTAGGTAAGATATAGCCTCATTTTCTGGTAACTTTTATTTATTTTATTTTATGGATAGCTCTCCCACTTTTAGGTTTAGAACTGAATTTATTTTTTTTATTTACTATTGTGTTTTAGTTAAGTTGCATATATTTGTTTTTGTACTAATGGATATATTGTATGATCTTGTATGATTTTTTGTTTTTTGTCTCCATATCATGGTTGTACCAGTATGCTTAAATAAATAAAAAATAAAAATATAGATGAGTTAAGCTCTGATTCTAAACAGAACTTTTATTCCAAAAATAATTTGTTTCGTGTTTTTACTACTATAACTACAATTCCAATCATTAGTAAAAACCTAATTTTACATAACACTAAATATATATATAAAATCGATTTTAATATAAAACAGATAAAAAATAATTCAAATATATTTATATATTTATGAAGATTTTTAACCAAGAAACAAATATTTTTATAATACTTTTTAAAATATTGTTTAGACCTACTCTAATTATAAATTTGCTTTCAGTTTAAATAATGTAAAATTCAATTAATTCAATATTTTACATTTTTTCAAACATTCATCATTGAATAATTGTTGCAATTCAAAACAGACAAAAGTTATATAGCAAAAGTTATATAATTGCAAATGTTTAAGGCATGAATCCGTCTTTGTGTTATTAGAGGAAGGATCTTTATAAGATGTAAATGAATAAAGTCTTGATGGTAATCAATTCCAAGTCAATATCTATTGGTCTGAGCAGCAATGCACTCAAAATATTCATATCAAAGTTTGGTTTTCTTATGCTCTCTATATAATCTGCATCATTTGGCATTAGTTATTTTGGACTTTTCTGATTCCTTTTAAATTTTTCTTTCCAATGAGATATGTCTCTAACATTTCTGTTCATATTGCCTTTGCAATTTCTTCGACATTATGAAATAGTAGACTAATAATAGATCCTGATAGAATTTGTAGTAATTATAGCATGCAAGTGTATGAAACTAGGAACATGTATTATTCTATTGTGTGAAATGTGAACAAAGTAGGAACAGGTATATGATGAGATTTAAGTCTTGGAAAGATATAATTAGTTTATCACATTTTTCAAAAACTGATTATTACTGCAATTTTATGTTATCTTGTACTATGTTGTTATATTAATTTGTTAAATATTACTAACATACTTTTAAATTATAATTTAACCTCCTGTAATGAACTAAGGGTCATGCAATAAAGAATTATTATTATTATTATTATATAGTTTTTTAACAACATAAGTTATTCGATTCAGTTTTTTGGCAATTCATTACCTCTAAAACTACTTAAACTACAAACTCAACACAAGGCATTCTTAACTATAATGTGCATTTAAATATCTATTAATGTAAAATTTTTAGTTCAACTATTTTATAAATTTTATTATTATAAATGTTTAATTTTTCTGAAAATATACTCAAACTAATGTAATCAGTAGTTGGATGACATTACTTTGAAAAACTAAATCTTTAATAACCAGCATTTAATTTTTGCACAAGGAAATGTTTTTGGCTAATCTAATCGGGTTTCAACAGCATAAACTATAAAATTCAACACGGTAAAATTTTTTTGTTCAACTACAGTGAGGTATTCTAGAATAAACAATGCTATAACATAATGTTTTATCTACAAAATCAAAATGTTATAATGAACATAGATGCTGCAACAAGTGTAACAACATAGTCTGTGCATGCACATGACATGTAGTGGTTTTCCGTTTTGATTGGAGTATTAGTCATTAAGTGTAGACCGAAGTGCTGAATATCATACGGCTTAAATCAATAATCAGTACAATTTTGAAAAACAAGGAAGAAATAAAAAGTGTACAAGTGTTGCAAAAGTAATCTCTAGATTAAGCAGTTTATGTTGTAATATCATGGAACAGATGGAAGCTTACATGTATACTACATAAAACTTAAATAAATTAATTTTATATTCTTTTTACTCTTATATTTTTAATTTTGTATTATATTTTTCCTGTTTAAATGATTATGTTAGATGGTAACTTTGCTCTGGTCTTTGACTTGGAACAATTATCCCTAAATACATGTATTTCAAGTATGCTAGAATGAACAAGATTCTAGAACCAATTACACTTGTTCTAGCATACCCCACTGTACTTAATAAATTTAATTATTATAAATGTTTAATTTTTAAATCAATTTTCTAGAATTTTATAGTTTATGCAGTTGGAACCTGATGGCAGCTTATTGAATTCACTGATAATGTTTGTTAGTGCAAATATTAAAAACTGGTTTAGTTTCTCAAGTTACTCATAAACTACTTGATTAAAATATAATCATTTTTATATGCAAAATTGCAAATAAATATATAAAATAATTTTTTCAATGTAAGTGCATAACATTATTTTCAAACACATACTGGCAAAACACAATAAACTTCAAATATTCAATTTAATTCCAGTTTATAATTTTTTTGGTAATATGAAATTTTTAATTCAACATTATAATTATCAGTGCATTCAAATTGACTAGCAAAGTGCATAAAACAAATAATTAAGTCTGGTACCTTTAAACAATAAAATTCTGTCACTTTTTTCATTTCCTGATTCTCATGAATGTTGATTTTAGTCTGTTTAAATCATGAAGTGATATTAGTTGAACAAATTGATAAAATTCTTCATTAAGAGGCAAACTTTAGCTAAAGGTTTGTTATCTGTCAATTGTTAGAATGATTTCCTACAATAACTTAAATAAATGATTTACAAAGCAAAAGAAAACATTCTCTCTCAATTATGAGTTTCTTCACTATTTATTTAGTTGTTTAAACAATTGAAATAATTCTAAAAATATAAACATTTCCAAATGCAAATAATCTAAGAATTTTTAAATCTTTATCAGAAATTACTAAAAATAATAAGTTTACATGGCCAACGATTATTTAATATTAATATAATAAATATAAATACAACTTTTTACAAAGAAAAATTCTTTGTTTCAGTCATTTTTTTCGTTGTTCACACCATCAGCAGTTCATTAAAAAACACAAATACTCACGGAGACAACCTTCCTTTTTAGGCTACTGCCTCCGTAGTTAAAATGCAAAAAATGATAAAAAGTGTCCTCTGGTGTTCTTGCCACAATCACATGATACATTTTAATGATGATGTGAACAATGAAAAAAATGACTGAAACAAAGAATTTTTCTTTCTAAAAAGTTGTATTTATATTTATTATATTAATAAGAAATGACTAAATTTTCTAAAGAAAATTACAGTCAACATAACTCAGAATAATCAATATTTTTTTTCTAGAATCCTAAATAATTCTTAAATCCTAAAATTATAAAAAATTGATTGTATCATATTTTATAAAATTTTCAATAATATAAATATTCTTTCATTATCATTTGTAAACCTTTTAATTCATTTACTGATCTATTAACATTCAAATTAAACATATTGCATAAACTAATTAAATAATACATTACAGTAAATAGTTTCCCCCATAAAAATTAAAATGTTTTTTTTATCATACAAAATAATGAATGTTTTTCTTTACAAAAAGATCTAGTGTCAAAAAATTGCAGTTATAAGTTCTGAAATAGTAATGGGATGTTTGATTTACTAATGAAATATGAAGTGTACTTGTTTTCCTATTCTTATTTCTTTTCAATTTTAACTTTATTCATGTATTATTGAGATATTAATGCAAACAGCATATTGCCAAAATTATAAAGATTATGAGTAATAATATAATTACAAATTAAAACACAAAAGATAGATAATATGTAGAACTTAATTATTTTAATAAAAACTTACTAAATACTAAATGCTAATTTTAAAAAGTGTAATTAATATTACAGAGGATATATTTCAAAAAATTAATGATCCTAGTCTCCTTAACACTTCATATTGATTGGAAAATAACACATTTCATTTTGAAAGAATAATACAAACTGAATTAATTTAAGATGTTTAAAAATTTGCATCAAATAATTTATATTAGTTAATGTTGTAATGCTTTATTACCTTTGTTAATTATTATTACTTAACATACATTATTATTATAATTAAATTTTAATATATTAAAACATACCATTGAATGGCCTGTTAAAATTGTTTGATATCCTACTTTCACATCATCTAAAGACAAAATTCCTTTTCCATACTCTTTGATAACTAAATCAATATTCCACATATGAGCCTATTAAAACATAAATTATTAAAAAATATTATCATATACAAATAAATTTGTACAATTATTCCATAAGTGATTTAAATATTAATAATTTTTAAATTTAGATTAAAGTTATTTTTATTGAAGTAAAGTACAAACAACCTGCTAAAAAGTTATATTTAGAAAAAAGTAGAGAAATGAAAAAGCTAAAAATTTTTATTTTTATGTACCATATTAATATACAGGTAAAATAACTCCATTTCCATGTTTCTGAAATAACACTATTCCAATTATCCCCAAACAATTTAATTTTTGAAATAAATGTAGTTTAAGAATAAAGTTAACTTAGTTCATGAACAGATGATCATTACTGTAGTGATCCATGACTTTGTTTTTGAGATACAAGGTCTTAGTATGAGTACATGCGACAAAGTGATATTGCATGACTTTGTCAGATGATGTCCCAAGATCACTAACACATCTACAGATTACAGAATTAAGTTCATTCTCAAAATTTGTTAGACCGATTTTTATGAAACTTTGCCCTTCTCATTAATTGCAATAAGGAATTCAAAAATGTAATGAAGGTCCATTTAAATGCAAAAAATAGGGGTCTATGACTTCATTTTCAATATACAGTGGAGTCAAAGTGACAATGTCTATGCTCTCTGATGCAATTGAGCATGCCTAACAGAATTTAAGAAAAATAAAATAAAAAATCAGCAATGCATGTACCTGACAAAAAATAGGCACAAAAAACAAACAAAACAATTGATGCTGTTGCTTTGTTCTTAGATCGCCTCTCCATTGGCCAGCAGGTATAAGCAGGGTTGTGGAAAGGCAGGGGTAGAAAGGGTACATGCCTAGGGTATCTAGATGATGGGAAACCACAATTTCAAAATTCTTAATGGATCAAACTAATAAATTCATAGAAAACTGTCACACACAAGTATGAAATATTATATTAATAAAAAATTATTTGCAACCTGTTAGTGCTGTTTTACCAAACTTATTATGATAAGTTTGGCAAAATAGCACTAACAGGTTGATGAAATAATACTTTAGTGCATATTTAAATTTGCCCCTGGTGATAATTGCTCTAGCCACATATATAAATACAAGGGTAACCTCTTTTGTGGTGGTAAGTATAAAGTTAAAGTATTAATTATGACATTAATTTAAAATGAATAAATAAATTATTATTATTACCTCTGCTTCATGAATTACAACTAATAATTTTGAAATGTCTGATCCTTCTTCAGTTTGATCAGCAGAATCTATAGATTCTTCTGGAATATAAGGGCACCAAATAACTCTGTTATTTTCACAAACTTGATTTTCAGCTTTCTTATTGACTTGCAGAATACTATTACAACTTTTCTTATATTAAGAAATAACAGTTTAATACATTATTTTCAATAAAATATTTTAAAATATAATATTCTAAAATTAAAGAATTTTATTTGTAATAATTAAAATGGTTTTTCATTCTAATGCAATTATTTTAGAAATTGTTACTTATATTTTAAAAATATAAAAGAACTGGAATGAATTTTTAAAACAAAAATCTCAAAAAAAAATTTTTTTTTAAATTCTATATAGCACTGAAACAGATCAAGAATCTTATAAAAAGGAATTAAGATCAACAAATCTTTATAGAAGTTGATTTACATAGATTTAAGCTAATCCAAATCGACTAAATAAAATAGAAACAAACACCTTCTATAGTGTATAGTGCATGCTAATAAAATTAAGAGAAATATTTTATAGATAAATAATTGAGAATCCATAACCAAACCAACTTCTTCAAGTAAACTTAATTCCTGTAATTCTTTTACTACATTCGTCAGGTTTTGTGCAATGAGAACATTGTTGCCTAGGTTATTTGAAATAAATCTATGTAAACGTTTTTCAAGAATGCATGTGGGTCCTCTGCATTTCTGTAATAACTGACTAAAAACAAAATAGCTTTTTTGTAGAACTTATCTCTCTCTCAAAAATTAAATACAATTTATTTGAAAACATTATTGTTTAAAAATATTTAAATAACTATTATGTTAGTGTGTTTATTATTTTATAGATAATTTTTCTTACAAATTCACAAAACTCATTTTATGTAATTGCTGTAATTTTAGGAAATAAATTTAGTTTATACTTTATAAAATTTAAATTATTCTAATATATATTTAAACATAACCAAAATATTCATGAACTAAGACAATGACAAAATGAATAAACTGAACTATTGTCAATAAAAATTTATATTGATAATGTTATAACTATCTCAAAATGTACATTTTGAGTTTGTTCTTCCAAATGAAAATGTTCAAAATAATATGATTTTCTATTTCCGTTTCTTTTGCAACAAAGTTTTACAAGAAACTGAATTTTCTCATAATTTCAATTGAAATTTTTTAAAAATGAAGGGACCAGTGAATTATTATACTAGATCTTCAATTTTATCCATTAGAGATGGTCTGATACTTAATATGATCGACCAGAATAATTAGATGAGAAATGAAAGAACAACCTGATCTGCACTACCTATAAAAAAAATAAAAATATGAATTAGACCCATGGCCAGTTTTCTACGTAGGCAAATAAATTTGAGCCTAGAGAGGAAAGTGGAAAAATTGGTGAGCAAATTTCATTAAAAAAATAAATAATTCCGAATATTACAAAATTTTTAATTACAGTCAAATGTGAGAATTGGGGTTTATGCATCAAAGCCTAAACCATTTTCCGAAAACGGGGCTGTGAGTCCCGCTCACAGGGTCAATGGATGGCAATTTAGGAGGGCGAAAATCAAGTGGGAGGTCGCGGATAAGTCGATAAGGTGTTGACCGAGTACGAGTAAACACACATATTTAAAATAACACATATATATATATATATATTTAATTAACTAATGATATATAAGAAAAGGTTACAATAATTAATAATACTACTAATCTCTAACCGAGGTTACAATAGGCGGTTTTCCGGCATACATCTCTCATATTTACGATAGAGGATATTCTTTGATCCTTCTTAATATCTNCTCTCAAAAATTAAATACAATTTATTTGAAAACATTATTGTTTAAAAATATTTAAATAACTATTATGTTAGTGTGTTTATTATTTTATAGATAATTTTTCTTACAAATTCACAAAACTCATTTTATGTAATTGCTGTAATTTTAGGAAATAAATTTAGTTTATACTTTATAAAATTTAAATTATTCTAATATATATTTAAACATAACCAAAATATTCATGAACTAAGACAATGACAAAATGAATAAACTGAACTATTGTCAATAAAAATTTATATTGATAATGTTATAACTATCTCAAAATGTACATTTTGAGTTTGTTCTCCCAAATGAAAATGTTCAAAATAATATGATTTTCTATTTCCGTTTCTTTTGCAACAAAGTTTTACAAGAAACTGAATTTTCTCATAATTTCAATTGAAATTTTTTAAAAATGAAGGGACCAGTGAATTATTATACTAGATCTTCAATTTTATCCATTAGAGATGGTCTGATACTTAATATGATCGACCAGAATAATTAGATGAGAAATGAAAGAACAACCTGATCTGCACTACCTATAAAAAAAATAAAAATATGAATTAGACCCATGGCCAGTTTTCTACGTAGGCAAATAAATTTGAGCCTAGAGAGGAAAGTGGAAAAATTGGTGAGCAAATTTCATTAAAAAAATAAATAATTCCGAATATTACAAAATTTTTAATTACAGTCAAATGTGAGAATTGGGGTTTATGCATCAAAGCCTAAACCATTTTCCGAAAACGGGGCTGTGAGTCCCGCTCACAGGGTCAATGGATGGCAATTTAGGAGGGCGAAAATCAAGTGGGAGGTCGCGGATAAGTCGATAAGGTGTTGACCGAGTACGAGTAAACACACATATTTAAAATAACACATATATATATATATATATTTAATTAACTAATGATATATAAGAAAAGGTTACAATAATTAATAATACTACTAATCTCTAACCGAGGTTACAATAGGCGGTTTTCCGGCATACATCTCTCATATTTACGATAGAGGATATTCTTTGATCCTTCTTAATATCTATTTAGGAATTCACCCTAGTCCACCCGTGAGAAGGGAGAGAGTTCTACTTACTAAGTTGTAGCTTGTAGAATCTAACCGTGTTGTCCGTCTTTGGCGGTCAGCGATGAGGATCGTCAATCCGTTATTTCCTTCTAAGTTGGAGGCCACCCCGATACTGGCCGGGAGCCCTCTTTATACTGATTTCGAGGGGGTGAGAACTATGACGTTATTCATGATTTATCCGCACACCTGCTAGTGTGTTGATATTTGGATCTAGCTAGTTCGGACAAATGACTCAGCGAAGTTTGTTTAATTTATTGTTATTGGTGTCAAAATGATATGATTTTATGATATAAATTCCTATAGGTTTGATGGCTCTCATCCATAAATTAACAATCATTTGACAATAATTTCTTTAACCTGGTCAACTATTTAGTTATTGTTTATATCAAACGTCGAGTTTGACTATGAACAAGGCGATTTATTGCCGTAACCACGTGTTACGTGCAACCAAGAGGTGATAAGAAATATCTCTTATTCCCTTCTTGTTGATACTAACGTCTATAGAATAACCGTTAAACAAATAGAGATGATTTCTTTTATTGATATTTTAACATTCTCCGTTTTTTTTCTCATTCGAGGAGAGCGTCTCGGTCATTGACCGCAGAAGTCCCCCTTTTCTCTTTTACTAGGAAAATTCCTAGATTTGTACTGATCTAAAACAGAAAAAGGGTTTCGGACCTTCACACAAACCTCAATTTATGAATTCAATTCATTCCCTAAAGTTGTTTGGAAAAAGATCTGTTCTCAAACCAAAACAAATTTTCAATAAGAAACAACATAAAATGGATTAATCCGCTCTTGACTCCAAAACAAAACCTTTTTTTAAACCTTGTTAGCTGTATTTCGTGCATAAAATGCTCATAAAGGCAATATATTATATATAATATTACTTCATCTTTATCAATGTTTTTTGAAATATGGTGTTTCAATTTATTTGATTTCAATTTTAATTTTTATTAATTAATTATAATTTTATTTTTGGTGTAAAAGCCAGTTTTAATTATTATTTTTACATTTAATTATTAGTTTTAGTTTAATTAACTGGCTACCTAGTATTAATCACTATGCAGTGATTTACGGATATACCCGTCAAGGGCAATCACGTGGCACTGGAGAATGACGTCTATATCTGCAAAAAACTTTTAGCCAAAAATTACCGCAAAAAAATTTCACATAAAATGGAATTATGTGACAATAAAGATTTTTTTTCTTTACTAGATGTAACTGTTCAAAAAATTTTTGCCAAAACGAAAACGAGAAAAACACATGGGAAAATTCTTAAAACATTTTCCACATTTATTCTCCATTACATCGTGATAGCACCATATCTGATTAAGATGATGCCATATCATACAACCATACAGTCCAATTAATTTTAATTTGAACTATATTGTTAAATATAATTTACAGCAAATATCTATATAATGAACCAAAAATAAACTAATCTTTTAACATTTATTACATTTGTAGTACAAGTATTTACAGAAGGCCACCTTCAAAATAAGCACGTCATGCAGCTACACACTTCTGCCAACACTTATATCACTATTAAAACAGTTTTACAACTAGTTCTGTATTACTTTGGATTACTGTCACAGCATGTTTTCATCAAATGCAGTGCTTTTTTTTATATGAAAGGTCTAGTGTATTATAATTTTTTTCTCCTGACAGTAGATACATTAGCAAGGAGTCCTATTTTAACATTCTCAGGTCACTCTGTGACACAGTTAAGATGAAAATGGCCTGGAAAGCAAAACATTAAGTTCCCCACAATGAAAACATCCCAGCATATCAGAGTCCCCTACTTGGTGAATACCTGACAAAAGACTAAAAAAACCTTTATTTCCACAATCTCTGCTCTCACTGGCTTTTGTGTTGTCAGCAAATAAAAACTGTACTGAAGAATTGCATATTCAAATCAGCAGAAGTGAATAGTGATGCAATGACTGCACTCAAGGAAGTCACATAAACTGGGTTGCAAGATTACAGTAATACCCCAAACTTATAGGTGGGACTGAGCGATAACCGCGTAAGTCGAATTTGTGTAAGTCGGGGTATAATTTCGCAATTTGTGTAAAATCCAAGTCGGATGTATGTAAGTTAATAAATGTTCTCGTTAATCTTATCTCGTCTTTTGATTCATTCACGGTTACAAGAAATCACCACATAGAGTCTCTCAAGTCTCTGTAGATACAATAAACACAGAAATAAATAACACAAAATAAACTGTAGCTATGTGTCGATTCCGCGCAACATGTCCAAACATGTAAGCTGAACAATAGTGTGGGAGAGAGAGTAATCAAGGGTTGCATGGTGCTCAAACAAAAGACGAATCAATGAGATTTGAAAATCACGTAACTCCGGGTTCAAGTAAGTCAGGGTAGCGTAAGTCGAGGTATTACTGTATTTTAATAAGTGGTACAATTTATTAAGTTTAAAATGGTACAAATATTAGCAGAAGTATATAGTTGTATAAGGTGGTTATTTTGAAAGTAAACTTTTGTAAATACTTTTACTATTAATGGAATGAAAATTATATCAAAAAATTCAGTTTAGTTTGTCAGTACCAAATGTATAATATATTCAAACATAATAAATTATAATATTACATGTAAAGTTATATATAAATGTATCATAAAATGAATTATTAAAAAAATAAATAAATTTTAATGGATAAAATTTCATCCAAAAAAACAAAAATAATAATAATAATACATGAAAATGAAATGTTATAATTAAAATATAATCAAAATAAACATTAACTTATTTATAGTGAAGGTCTGAAATAAAAATATAAACTATATAATTGTAACTTAGGCCAGATATTTATAAAGCAATAAAACTCATTTAAAATATTTTTCAAAAAGGATACACAAGTTTACCATCATCTTCTAAAATTTCATAGACAAATAATGATCCTACATTATCAACAAAGGCCAAAATTACTTGGTCAGTTTTATGTGCAAATGCTAAATCTTTTACTTGTCGTCTTGCTTTAATAGTAGAATGGGAACCCGTTTTTGGATTTATAACACGTATAATTCCTTCACGAATCCTACGTCCTTTAAATTATAATTTCAATAACATTAAAAATTATTATTAGTATAATTATTACATTAAAAATTTTTTTAAATTAAATAAGATTAGCTTAATATGAAAAATGCAAAACATGAAAAATAAATAATTAAAGATTTTACCTCCACTGATTTATTTCTATTTAATGACATTTTTCAATGTTTTATATAATTATTATTTTATACATTAATATACTGTACATATTAATATATAAAAAATATTTATAAAAGTTTCTGTAATATTTAATTACATAAAGAATATCTGATGTTCAAAATAAATGGAATATTTAGTTAAATTCATACATATAACTCAAATGAAAATGTCTCAAACCAAAAATTATTTTCATTTCTTTGTATGTAAATAAGCAAATCTGAAGTTACATTTTTGATTCATGCCCAAAGTCATTTATTATTTATAGTCAGTTTTAAAAGTTGAAGTTTTAACTACTTGTTTTAGTAAGTTAAATACTGATAGAAATAAAATCAGTATATAACTTATGCTGAATAGAAATATAATAGTTACTGATAGTTTGGGTGCAAATTTAAAATCTGTGATAGTTACTTTATAATTTTTATTCTTGTTTTGTTTGTTTAATTTGTTTACAGTTTTTGCAATTATTTAATTTTAATGGTTGCAGCTATAATTTTCTTCCTTATTTTTAACAAAATGCTCTGATCAATAATTAATAAATGAAGTAATATACTGCAGTGTAATGTGATTAATTTTCATTGTCATAAAAAGCTTTTTACAACAATACGTTAGTAAAAATATCCATTTTGTCATTAAGTTTTCTATGCTATTCTGAATGCTTTTCTTGCTAAAGATGAGAGAATTCACTGAATTAAAAATGCTAAAATTGGATTTAATACATAATCAAATAAATTTTAAGATTTGGCTGTGCTTTACAACTTAAACAAGTGTAGAAACAATCAGCCTTTCATTCTGATTTTACTTTACAATTTAATTTTTTAATTGAAATTTGTTTGATAATTTGACTATACAATTGTATTTCTTTCAATTTCTTTTAATACAGAAGTGTTCATATACAATTTGGTGTTAAAAACTAAAGGTATTTTGGAATTTAACTGAAAAAGTCAAATAAAAAATAAATNCATAAAATGAATTATTAAAAAAATAAATAAATTTTAATGGATAAAATTTCATCCAAAAAAACAAAAATAATAATAATAATACATGAAAATGAAATGTTATAATTAAAATATAATCAAAATAAACAATAACTTATTTATAGTGAAGGTCTGAAATAAAAATATAAACTATATAATTGTAACTTAGGCCAGATATTTATAAAGCAATAAAACTCATTTAAAATATTTTTCAAAAAGGATACACAAGTTTACCATCATCTTCTAAAATTTCATAGACAAATAATGATCCTACATTATCAACAAAGGCCAAAATTACTTGGTCAGTTTTATGTGCAAATGCTAAATCTTTTACTTGTCGTCTTGCTTTAATAGTAGAATGGGAACCCGTTTTTGGATTTATAACACGTATAATTCCTTCACGAATCCTACGTCCTTTAAATTATAATTTCAATAACATTAAAAATTATTATTAGTATAATTATTACATTAAAAATTTTTTTAAATTAAATAAGATTAGCTTAATATGAAAAATGCAAAACATGAAAAATAAATAATTAAAGATTTTACCTCCACTGATTTATTTCTATTTAATGACATTTTTCAATGTTTTATATAATTATTATTTTATACATTAATATACTGTACATATTAATATATAAAAAATATTTATAAAAGTTTCTGTAATATTTAATTACATAAAGAATATCTGATGTTCAAAATAAATGGAATATTTAGTTAAATTCATACATATAACTCAAATGAAAATGTCTCAAACCAAAAATTATTTTCATTTCTTTGTATGTAAATAAGCAAATCTGAAGTTACATTTTTGATTCATGCCCAAAGTCATTTATTATTTATAGTCAGTTTTAAAAGTTGAAGTTTTAACTACTTGTTTTAGTAAGTTAAATACTGATAGAAATAAAATCAGTATATAACTTATGCTGAATAGAAATATAATAGTTACTGATAGTTTGGGTGCAAATTTAAAATCTGTGATAGTTACTTTATAATTTTTATTCTTGTTTTGTTTGTTTAATTTGTTTACAGTTTTTGCAATTATTTAATTTTAATGGTTGCAGCTATAATTTTCTTCCTTATTTTTAACAAAATGCTCTGATCAATAATTAATAAATGAAGTAATATACTGCAGTGTAATGTGATTAATTTTCATTGTCATAAAAAGCTTTTTACAACAATACGTTAGTAAAAATATCCATTTTGTCATTAAGTTTTCTATGCTATTCTGAATGCTTTTCTTGCTAAAGATGAGAGAATTCACTGAATTAAAAATGCTAAAATTGGATTTAATACATAATCAAATAAATTTTAAGATTTGGCTGTGCTTTACAACTTAAACAAGTGTAGAAACAATCAGCCTTTCATTCTGATTTTACTTTACAATTTAATTTTTTAATTGAAATTTGTTTGATAATTTGACTATACAATTGTATTTCTTTCAATTTCTTTTAATACAGAAGTGTTCATATACAATTTGGTGTTAAAAACTAAAGGTATTTTGGAATTTAACTGAAAAAGTCAAATAAAAAATAAATTGTGCAAATAGGTTTTCTTTATCTCTTTTCACCCAAATAATACATTCACACACAATACACAACTCACTACAATCTCAATTTACCTACAATCTGGATTGTGACTGTTGCCAGTCGAACATTGTGCTGTTCGCACAGTCAGTCTGCTTGAGAAGAACCCGACTATTACATGCAATGATAAAACTGACATAACTACGCAGTAAGTCATGAACACCAACAAACAAAATGGAAGTTTTGGTTAGAAATAAATACAGTACTTTTTCTTGCCATATATCTAATAATAGACAGATGTCATCGTCTCTCCAGATGCCTTTTTTATTTCTCTGTTGATAGCCAGACACATGTTCTGCAGCCATCTTGTATTATCTCACGCACATGGGATTGTGGGATCTCTTTATGATTGGATTTAGTTTCAATAACTCTCGAGTTGATCGCAATTGAACCTCGTTCAGTCCAGATTGAAACAGTCGAGAGAGATCGCACCATGGCATAGTCACCAACCTTGGTCACAATCTAGATTGAAATGCTCAGCGCAAATCATATACATTGTGGATTCAGCCACTCATAAAAAAATCCCAGGGTTTTTGACCCTCAGATTTGATTCCAGGTTTTCCAAAGAGAAAGGCTGATGCATTAACTGTCTCAGCATCTGCCCTTCTGTGCAAGTATAAATTTATTAAATTTTGCTGATAAGTTACTACTGTTCATTTCTAATTTATTAACTAAAATTAAAATATTTTATTTAAACATATTCTATTGTATCAATTTATCATTTAGTTTTTCTAGTTTTTAAGGCATGGAACCAATCTTCCATACAAACAGTATCTTTTTCTTACATGAATTTTTTGGAAATGAATAAGCAGAATTAGTGTACTTTCAATCATGGATCAGATAAATCTATATCCATTATCACAGCATCCAAGGAACTAAAAGCATCATATCAATAAAACAATGTGCCATCAGGAAATTTCCTCTTAGACAGTAATAAAAGTGGTTAAATGAAAAATTTACTTGCAAGAAATAAATATGGGAATTTCATGAGTTCACTACTTGTTATTTATGTGTTGCAAAAGCAATTAAATCTTGTAGATTTTTTACTATAGACAAGGGATAACAATTTTAAACTTTAAATAAATAAAAATATTCATCATCTTTATGATCAATATGCTATGTTAGTCAAGCACCATTGATTACTCCTAGAGTTGCTAAGTCTAACCTTAAGTATGCTTTTCACTTAATCAGATGGTAAAACAAATAGATATTTGTAGTAGTAATGAATGAAAGAGTAGTCTATAGATCAGTAATAGCAGGTATTTGGTACTAATGAATCATGATATACACTATTTATTTAAATAAGTGGTATACATAAAATAGAAACCTTTATCACATCTATATCCATCTGTGTTAAAAAAGCATTTAATTCAACCTGTATCCTTTTAACTGTGCAAGAGATAAATAATAATATATTCACTGAAAAAATGTTTTATAATGTAATGTCACACATTACAGTAATACCAATACATTGTATTCAAACAAAATGAGAGTATTTCAAGATTACAATGCTACCATATGCAAGGGAATGAGTACTGCAAAATGATTCTCAGGAAATTCTGATGTTCTATATAACTAGTATTGTCTCTATAGTTATTGGATCTAAAAATCACACATTTTTAATATGGAATGGTTTTGATGATCATATCTCCCAATGAATATAATAGACTAACAGTGTATCTCAGCAGCAAAGAACAAATAACCAAATCAAACTAGGTTATTCGTTGATTTGATTGTCTATTCTTAAAATTTCTTTTAAAAAAAATTTTATGAGAATGTTTACAAACATTTAAACAGACAACTGAGGAACAAACTACAATAGCAATCAACTTCAATAGTAAAATTTATTTATTAACAAAATAATTTCCAAGTTTTTATGATAATCATGTATAATGAAATATACATTTCATTACATTATTATTAATTAATTAATTCTATCATTAATTTATTTTATATTTTAAAAATCGTTCAAGCTTACCTTTCAATGCATAAGCCAAGTATGTACCTGAGAGATGAACACTAATTAACTTCCCAACATAAAATTTAGTTTCCCATCCAAAATCTACTATATTATGAATTTTCATCTGAAAAAAAATTTTTGAGATCAATTAAAAATATATTTAAATATATTTTCTTGTATTATTATAATTATAATAATAATAAAATTTAATGTATTATACAATAGATAATGTTATGATTAAAAAAAAAAAATATCTTCAACTTAATGTCAGAATATGGATATGATGAAGGGTGGTGTCACGGTAAGACAAACGAGTGGACTAAAAAGGAATGTACGTTAGAGCAAAACATGTTCAGAACTACAGTCAGAACCCAGAGTCCCACTTCCCTTGACAGAGTTTACATAACTCAACTCACCCCTTGCATAGCAGAGGAGAGGGAACGACAATTTCAAGGGCAAAGGTCACATACACAACTTTCTAACACTTAAAAAGCAAAATCTTTATATATACAGTAGAGTGTCGATTATCCAAAAGTCAATTATCCGAAAGAATTCCAGTCGGCAAATTTAAATTTTCGCCAGTGCTGTGGTGCTACAATCTTTCACTATGTTTTGGGCTACTCAAGTATTTTACATTTTTTATACTAAATTAACTTCTGAAGTATAATTTTTTATTGTTTTTATATTTTTCAATATATTTATTTTATTTGTAAAAAAATAAAGAAATCATTTTTAATGATACAATAGCCACGATTATTATTTTAAAAAGTTTACATTAGGCTTAACATCGACGAAAATTCAACGCGAAGTGACATGCAACGGAGAAAAATTTCAACATGGGATAGGTTAATATATTTTTTCGTACATAATCGGTTATCCAAAATATTGATTTTCCGAACAACCCCAGTCCCCAATTGATTCGGATAATCGACGCTCTACTGTATTCAAATCTAAAAACCTTTGTAACTTTAATTATTATAATTTTTAACATTTTTTGTTTTCATTTTAATACAATTTTTGGATCAAAATACCATGTTTTAAAGTAATTAGATTCTTCATGATAATTTATAACATAAATAGCATTAACAACATTTAATAAATATTTACTAAAACAAGTAAGCATTTAAAAAAAATATCAACACTTTCAAAGACATGTTTAAAACATTAGTTTTAATTTTTAATAACTTATTTTTAATGGTTATTTCAATAATAAACATTATTAAAATTATTATTAATTAATGAATTATATTTTGGAATAAAAATATTAAGTAGTTACCTTCCTCTCCGTGGAAAAATTATATGATGAACTTGGAATAATAGTCACATCCTGACTAATTAATGATATAGTATCACCATCTTTTCCAGAAAGAACACTGAAAAATATTTTTCATTGTAAACATTATTTGAATTAATAATATTAATTCAGAAATATTAATAAAAAAAAGCTCCTGAAAGAATGCTAATGTTGCTAGGTCAAGATAGGGAATTCCCAGTTTTACCAAACATATCAAATACTTTGATCATTTACTTTTATACAAATACTTCCATGGTTCCATTTGTTCTGATTGGCTGTGCCTAAGAGTTCTGCCACAAGTTACTTGTAACCAAACTTATTTTTTTTACCTCATCTTTTAGGTTTTCTATTTCTTTCAGATCATTTTTCTATTGGTCTATTCAGAATATGGGCTGTGTGGAATAATCTTTACATGAAGTTTTTCTAATTTTAAACACATTTGTAAATGGTTACTTTATAATATATAATCTTTTGTTTTTATTTATGTATATTTTTTTATCATGTATATTGATTATCCTTTTTTTATTTGTATTTTAATCTTTTGTTACAAGCATTATTTTTGGGAGGAGGATGTCAATTGTCTTGTGGCATTTCTTTTTGTGTATGCAATAAACTATAAATAAATAATTCATCTTTGCCATATACAAGTGATAATTCTATCAGAAATAGGCAAATCTTAACTCAAATACATTTTGTAATACTTACGCATGTTGTGATTCTTCAGATAAACTTCCAAGCATTGTATTTTTATTATCAAGATTTTCTTGAATTTCGTCAGTAATCTCTTCCTCTGAATTTATATTAAAATGTTTATCTATAAGGAAAAATAAATAGGTATATAATTCAAAAAATCATTTCAAATAAATTATATTAACTAATGTATATATTTTACATATTTTATAATCAATATACAGATATGCCCCTGTATAACATGGTAGTTAGGATCCAAAAAACTACAGTGTTATGCAAATCCATGCTACATGAAACAAAGGACTAGCACAAAACAGGATTAGACTGCAAAAGTTAGCAAAAGTATAGTATTCTTTTTCTAATTAAGAGAAATATGTTTACTGAAGCAATCAATAATTAATTAACAATCACAACCAAAAAGCATTGCACATTAATATTAATTTTTTCTTCACTGATAAACACCATTAAATGAGGACATTTTCTTTTTGGCAAAATATCATTGTCTATTGAGTTTTTCTGTTGACCTTAATTGAAGTATGAGCAACATCTTGATTTTTCTCTATTTTTTCATAAAATCTGATATTTTCATTTGCTTGCATTTGCCTAAGAAATTTTTAAAAATTTAATCTTTTTGTGTAGTAACTTTTAATTTAATCTATAAAAATAAAACACAGCAATAGTCTTTGGGGTTCATTTAAAGCACAATCACCAACAACAGCAACACCTTTATAGGAAAACTAGAAAAGGAAGCTAGAATAAAGAAGAAAAACTATACAACCATTTCTCATTAAAGAAAACTGAATGAAAAGCACAAAACAGCATTGAAAATTTCAATATTCTAAAATCCATGGGCGTATGAGACAACATGATGTGCTTGCGTGAATAAAAAAATATCAAATGACATGTTTGCATTTGCATTTAAAAATTGTGACATTTTGTATGTAAGGATGTCTCCAATTCTCAGTGTTAGAGCAAAACCATGTTGTACAAAGGGTACCTGTTCATTTTATCTGTGTCTATAAAATTGGAATTCTTTGCTGCAAAATTAATACAAATAACATTGATTATCCTATTCAATTTTTTACATTATTTAAACAATGCATAATTAAGAATATGACTAAGTTCATCTGATATGAACTCTTTCATACTTTGTTTTAATTTGGCTACTGCATTATATATAAGGTATTTTGGGGATTTATTAGTTAGTAAAAAATTCCCTCATTTATAATGATGGAGAAGCAATATATAATAATCCTCAAAACCCCTTTTATCAATATATTAGCTACTGGACTTTTTCTATTCTTATTCTATAATTCAGTTGAATTCTATAGAATTTTTATATAGAGATCAATAAAAATGCAATATTTATTTAAAATTCTGCAGAATATAATTACTTGTCAGCATTGATCACTTCTGAACTCATCTCTGTAGATATTCAACTAGAGTTTTCTTTACTCCAGAAATGAAATTTCCTCATTTAAAGTTTGTAAAAATTAAAGAAATATAAGTGCATGCTACTTCTAAAAGTAAATTTAATTTCTCAACCACTTACCCTCAGCAGTAACATAAACACATACAATACCTTATTTTGCCAAGGAAAACGTTTAATAATCACAAACATTATCAGCTTGTTCTACAAGCCATCCTCAAGCATTATATAACATTGTAATGGTATTTCAAAAATAATAAATGTAAATATGAATAAAAGATCATCAAACAATTTTTAAAAAGATGTACTTAACACAATCAAATCAAAAGTAAATTTAATAAAAATAACTTCATTAAGTAGCTTAATTTTTCTAAACTAAGACTCTCAAGATATTATGAAGACAATATAAAGAAATTTGCATTAAAGGAATAACAAAATTTACAAAATTAGTATTTGCTTACATGAATAGATTATTAAAGACATTACATAAATAAACCAAAGTACTTTATAATACAGTCAAACCTCAGTTTATGAACTTAATTCATTCCTAAAAGTTGTTCAAAAACTAATTTGTTCTCAAACTGAAACAAATTTTTCCCAGAAGAAACAATGTAAAAAAAAAAAAAAACAGGTTTGTTTTGGATTAGGTCCCAACCCCAAAACAAAACATTTTTTAGCTATATTTCATCCATAAAAAAATGCCTACAAATGCAACGTAATAATATATTATAACAAAACAACTGAATAGCGAATAAAGTTTATAAAATAAAAAAGACAATTTATAACTTCATAACATTTATAAATAAGAAAGATAATTTCATTTATCCTTATTTGTGCTGAGAAGTCTTGATGGTGCAAGTGAAGGATGGACAGAGGTGGAAAGGAAGGGACATTATTTCTTGGAGTGCAAGTTCCTCTTCATAACATCAAGTAACTGCACTTCAGGAGTTTTTTCTCTTACCTTTTGGATATTCTGCTTCTCACTAGCAGATTCTGTCTGGAATTCATTAGGCCTCTTTTTCGCTAAAAATTTATCTAATGAGATTTGCCTTTGCCTATGTTTCACAATGTTACAAAGTGAGACATAGTACTGTCATTGAAAAGGTTAATGACACATCTTGCTACTGCCTTATCAGGGTAATATCTTTCAACAAAACTTTGACTTAACCCCATTTTGCACACATGTCAATAATAAGAGCACTAGGTTCATCCTCTCTTCTCTTTTCTTCCTCCAAGAGCATCTCCTCAAGCATATTCTTATGTTGCTTCTTTTGAAGGAGTTTGAGTTTGAGTGAAGGTAAGACAACTCAATATCGTGTTCCTTTATCAGCTCTTCGACATCAGCATTGCCAATTTCTAGGTCCATGCTTTTGCTCAGAGATACAATGTTATCAACAACTCTAGTAGGCTCTGTCTCAAATTCTTTGAAATCTCTCTCTGCAACACAGTCAGGCCAGAGGTTCCTCCAGGCTGAGTTTAAGGCCCTGCAAGTCACTTACTACCAGACCAGGGGCCATATTTTGGTCACTTATCTCTCGTCTCTTCTTTCAATGACAAATGACATCAAGACGAAAGACGAATACGTCTCTCGTTTTGATGTCATTTGTCATCAAATAGTAACAATTCTGGTCATTTTTAACAATATCGTCTTCATTTATAATGTCACAATACTACTAGGTTGATTATACATGTTCAGACTATCTGCGCATGCAATACAGTATAGAATTTTAACCAATGAAATTGTAAAATTTTCAAAAATGCAGAGTACGTAATTATAGATCACGTGGCAAGGAAAGCAAATGTTCAAATAAAGCATGTAATTTCGACAAATTTGTTTTTTGTTTTATAATGTTTTTACAGATTGTAATGTCAATTTGTCTCTTAACAAATAAAAATTTTAATAACCTAAGTTAGAAAAGCATGCGTACTTAGATATTTTTCGAAATATTACCATCTAATTTCTCCTTAACTATCTAAGTAAGATTAACAACATCATACTCCATAGTTCAATAATTAATGTAAGATAATTAACAAACAAAAAAAAAAAAAAAAAATGGAATCAGTGGCATTTCTGAGTAGGCACTGGAAAAAAATCAGAAGCATTTTCTCTCGCGAAATATTCTTTCCCAAGATAGAGAATGTTTTGTAATGTGATTGTACAGCACGAGTAGCATCCAGTCATCCATATTAGATATTACGAAATTGTGGTGAAAGACTATAGGCTGGTCAAAAGACAACTATCCGCTCATCTCTGATAAACGAGAGAAGCGAAGAGAGAAAAAGTTGTCCAGAATTGCATTTAGAGAGATGTGATGATCTCTCGAGATGTAAACAAATGATTAACCAATCAGTGACCAGCTTGTGAGAGACAACAGACGAGAGACAATGACCAGAATATTGCCCCTGGTCAATAAAACTAAGCAATGAAAGATATTGAAGTAGTTCTTCCAAAAGTCACAGAGTTAACTCTGTATCAGAGGTAACCTTGAAGCATCTTTGAAAAAGTACTTTGGTATAATACTTTTTAAAGTTAGAAATGGTGTGTTGATCCATTGGCTCAATCAGTAGAATCTTATTAGATAGAAACTTCATGATGATGAAGTCAAACTCTTCCAGTAATTTGGCATCTATTCCTGGAGATGGGCTGAAGCATTGTCCATTAAAAGCAGGCATTTCAGTGGCCAGTTATTTTCATTAAGATATTTCCCCACACTAGGAGCAAACACCTCATAGACCCATTCCAAGAAAAACTGTCTGGTCACCCAGGTCTTACTGTTAGTCCTCCACATGACAGACAACTTGCTTTTCATAATATTATTTCTCTTAAACACATAGGATTCTCTAAATGATATACAAGCAATGGTTTCACCTTAAAATCACCATTAGTATTGCCATAAAGCAAAAGAATTAGCCTGTCCTTCATTGGTTTGTGTCCAGGCAAACTCTTTTTCTCCTGGGTTATGTACATTCTGTTTGGCATTTTTTTCCAAAATAGTCCAGTTTCATCAAAATTAAATACTTGCTGGGAGATATAACCCTCAGCAGTCACCCACACCAAATTCTTTCACCAACTTTTCCACATCTTTTTTGTTTGCACTTGAAGCCTCTCCATACTAAACCACAGTGTATATGCCACTTTGCTTCTTAAACTTTTCAAACTAGCCTCAATCAGCCTTAAACAAATCAATCTCAGAACTTGAACCTGGTGTTTTCTTCAGCAAATTTTGGTGAAAAGTCTTGCTTTCTCACAAATGATAATCTCCAAAATACTGTCACCAGCCAACTGCTTTTTGTTGATCCAACACAAGAGCAATTTTTTCACTTCTAAGGTTTGCAATGCTTGGTGATAATGGCCACTCCTTTCGCAACATTAGTACCTTTATTGCTTCCTTGTTCTTGAGAATGATACAGATCAATGACTTTCCTAAGTCAAACTATAAAGCCAGAGCTCACAATAAAAAAATCTAATTTTTTTATTTCTATGTATAACATCCTAATTTTAAAATGTCTGGCTCAGCAATTTTGAAAAGGTGGTAATAGTAATTACATTGTTGTAAACTGTACTGTCATGAAATGTTTTTTACAGTAGACTAAGGAGGAACTAAATGACTGAAAAACAAATGTTTACAAAATACTGTTTTATTAACATAGTAACATTTTTCTGTTTGAAATGCCAAATAGGAAGGGTTATTTCT